TAAGAGACTAAAAGACGACTCTAAAACCGTGCAAAGCGCCTTCGAACGTTACTCCCAACCAGATAGCTCACCAACTATGTACTTTTTAACGACAAACACCACACGCAAAAGAATGGTATCAACCGCTCTCCAACAACTGAGAAAAAGTACTTTGATACACCTTTCACCATGAAAGAACCTAAGAAAGGACTAAATACTCTCAAAAATGTAAAAACCACAGGTGTCGATGATATATTCTTCTTTTTTCTTGTTCTTATGTAGACATGACTCTGATTTTCAATGTGCCTCCAGTATGTTGTCATTCCTTTCGTTTTCGTGGTCTTCCTACTCATCGTCCTCCTTTTTGGAAACGTTTCTTGCCGTCTTTACTACTCTATTTGTTGTCATTCGGCTTATATGATCGTTCCATTCTACTCTTCTATTTCTTGATGTTCTCCATCTCCACCTTGTATCTACGTTGTATATATGTACTTCTAGCTTTGTCCAATAGTGTCTTACCATCAATTTTTCTGCTTTTATCTCCGCTATTTTCCACTGCAATTTTCTGGGTCCGATTTGTCTCCCTTTTTGAAGAAAGAATAAAGATGCTTGATTTAGATTCTTGTGGAGTTCTGTTTTTATTTCAGTATTCTGTTCTCTCCTGTTGATTTTGTATTTTTTATTTTCCTTAATGCTTCCTTTACCTCTTCTTCCTCAATATTTATTTCTTCGTTTGTCGTCACTTTTGGTGTTGGTGATTCATTATTGTCACCTTTAGCAAATAGGGATCGAAAGGTAGTCTGCCCATGTTTCCTTCTAAATGTGGTTCATTTTTATTAGATCGGTCATCTCTTTTCTTTGTCCTCTGACCATGCTCCACATTTCTTTTTGTCTTCCGTAGAAGTCGTGTTCCATCTGCTTTGAGAAGCTCTGCCAGTGTTCCCTTTTTATTTGTCTGACTAAAGTTTTTGATTCGTTGTATAGCAATTGTATGTCTGTTGTGGTTCTGCAAATGTGATATCGCTTGGCCCGTGGTTCGCCTGACCTAGTTGGTTGAATCCTAATAGAAACTAGCCTTTTTCCAAACGCTGTTGCTAGTTTCAGTTAAATCTGCTTTAGGGTGAGTCGTGTTCATCTTATCACTGAAGTCGTTCTAGTACAAATCTCCAAACTGATAGAGCTGGGGTTCTACATTCAGCGACAGCGTCAGGATGTAGCTGATTGGAAGTGCTCGTCATACTCAAGCTTTCGGTTTCTTCTTAACCCTGAGTCATGCACCAGTGCAGTTACTACCCTTTCAGGTTTTGATCTTCTCTAAGACTATACACTCTTTCAGTTTCTTGGAAAGGAAGGCCACTTTTACGCCAGTTACTACCCTTGTCAGGTTTAAGACTAGGGACTAGAGAGTAAGCTAAGGCTAAGACTATACACTTTCAGTTTCCTGGGAGGAAGCGCCACTTTGTGCGCCAGTTACTACCCTTTCAGGTTTTGATCTTCTCTAAGACTATACACTCTTTCAGTTTCCTGGGAGCTTAGGTTTTAAAATTAGCGTAGTTCCCAAATTTCAGAGGTAAGCAAGTATTTTTCCCACTCATCCAGCTAATCTCCTACCATCAATTGAGATGGATATATGACTTTGGGATCGTTGTTGAAAAGCTGGATTCTACGCCTGTTCAATAACTGCCCAACGATATTTTAAATATCAAAACTATATAGAAAAGAAAAAGTCGTAGCTACATGAAAACCTAAAAAAGGCCCAGAAACGCCATAGTTACCATGCTATATCGCATCTCTGCCACCTATATATAATAATAAGCGGCGTCAAAGACATCCTACATCGCATAGAGAAAGCGGTAAACTCAAAAATCATACTACAGCGAGATGTTTTTAGACTTGGGAGGAACTACATCAGCCAAATTCTAGGAACACATCGAAAACGGATTTGAAAAAAAAATATAACAGGCCTAGCCCTTCTCGATTTAAGTCGCTAACTTGACAAAATAGTGAAATTGCTATGTCAAACTGAAATCCTCAATTAATGAATCAATTTGGATGGGGTAATTCTCGCTTTAGGTGGTTTTATTTTACTCGAAAATGTTAATAACAATATTTAAAATAATTTAATGAAATTACAAGGATTAATTTACAATTAAGTAACAACTAGTAAACAAAAACAAAAAAATATATATCAAAACACGTTCATTCTAACATCACTGCTTGAAATTAATTTGTCACTTCTATTCCTTATAGGAATTGCACGCCGTCTTGTAAATTGTGTGGTGCTTCTATATCGGCAGCTTTGTGCATTCATAATGTAGAAAGTTTATCCGTCTTAATTGACAATTTATTTATTAGATCAATTACTTTTAGCGCCAGGGATTAAATTGTATTACATAATCGACTTTATCGGCTAGATTACGGTGTTGTGCAAACAAAATTTCAGAATGGTGTAATTACTAAAATGTATGTACATGTGCTTATTGGAAATATTTCCCACGAATTGAAATTTATTGTCCAAAGTTAATTAAGCTGTGCATTTCTAAATATCTGTCAGGATGAAAGTAGGTAATTATTCGCTCACCTAATACAAGATTTCTATAGTTGATTTCAATATTGGTAAGAATTTAATAAAAAATTATCAAAAGCGGATAAATCTAGCAGATAGCAAAAGCGTATTTGATATTCTTACAAAAAGATCTTCTTATTCTTCTTCCTTCTTGTATGTAGGCTTTAAAGCATGTTTCTTCTTCAATATTAGCCTCCTAAATTGTCGCACCATCTTTTTCTTGGTCTGCCAATAGTTCTTCGTCCATTTTGTGACTTTAACTACTAAGATTGACCACTATCAAACCTCGAAAGTTACAATTCTTTGGACATATTATGCGAAATGAATCCAGATATGCTCTCCTTCAAGCCATCCTGCAAGGAAAATATTTGGAAAATGAGGTCTAGGAAGAAGAAGAACATCTTGGTAACCTCAGAATCTGGTTCAATACAACATCTGTGCAGCTTCTTCGCGCTGCTGAAGATAAGATAAAGATTGCCATGATGATCGCCAACATTCGTACCGGATAGACACATCAAGAAGAGAAGAAGTAAGATTGCGATTCTCTAAGAAACTACAACATTTATAAACTATACAATAATACAAATATGAGTTGCTAACTTAATTTATCATAACACATTTAAATTAATACGGACCAAGGCCTACTTTGTTTTAAAAAATTTTTATAAAATTTAATACAGTGCGTTAAGTTTTGGATTAGGTATACACTCTATAAATGGCAACACTGCGCCTCGTCGACTTCCCACTACATAATCTGCTTATTCTTGTTGACTCGTCGTTGCTCGTCGCCCGTCGGCAAATTTGAAATTTGTCAAATTGTCATTATACCGTGGTTGTTTAAAGGTATAACAGCGTAGAGTTTTAATTTATTTTTGTAAACATCTCTGTTATATGGCCGCGGAAAAAGCTCAAATAATAAAATGGTTTTATAGTGGCAATTCTGCGCAACAGTGTGTATGATTTATTTCTGTGATTTTGAGGGAAGACCAATTCCTTGTGTACAGTCAATTTATAATATTGTTAAAAATTTTGAGAGTTGTTATTGCCTCAAAAATTGTAGAAAATGTCACGCTCAAGAAGTGTTACCAGAAAAAGTTGAGGAAAGAGAATACCGGGATACACAAATTTGTGCAACAATCGAGGTAGATTCAACACGTTCAAGTAGAACCGTTGCTAGAGAGTTAGATGTTAGCAATGTTACTGTAACGAAAGTATGGAAAAAGCACGGTTACAAGAATTTTAAATATTCGAAAACGCAGCAGCTTTATCCAGACGATTACTTTCGAAGAATGGAGGTTTGTGAAACTCTAATAACGAAGGTTAATAGTGAACCAAATTTTATTAAAAACATTTTATTCACTGATGAATCTTCTGTTTCGTTAGTAGGGAGGACACAATCCTTCCATTACGAGGTATTGGGCGCGGGAAAACCAGCACAGAAGTGTTGTTTACCGAACTCAACGTCCTCAAACAAGTTAACGTCTGACTGGCATTTTAGGAGACCACATAATAGGTCCATTTTTTATTGAGGGCAACTTGAATAGTAGAGTATACCTCGATTTGTTACAGAATCATGTTCTTCCCGCTATTCTCAATCTTCCTGATGTAAATCTGGAGAATGTTTGGTTTCATCAAGACGGCTGTTCACAAGGGTCGCAACGCTCGCTCGAATTATTAGGGAGTATTTAAACAATACTTTCCCGAATCGAGTTATCAGTGGAACAGGCGATATTAAGTGGCCTGCGCGATCTCCAGATCTTACACCCATGGACTTCTTTTTTTAGGGACATTTAAAAAGCATTATCTACGATCATCCTGAGGCTAGAGCCCAAAATTTGGATGAATTAAAAAATCGAATAATAGAAGTCTCCAATTCTGTTACAGCAGAAACTCTTTCATCTGTTCGCAGAAGTTTTTATGACAGATTGGGGTACTGTTCAGCCGTAGAAGATCAACTATTTGAACCATTTCTGTAGGTCATAAAGAATTATTTTTTATTTTATTAGGAATAATATTTTAATTTTATAAATAAGAGTATATCTTTTATTTTATCTTTTTAAAGAAATACGCTTTTATTTTAATTCAACCACAAAAAAATTTTCACATTAATAAAAATCGATAATAATGCACCGATTAGGTCAGTGCATTTTTATCGAATTTCCTACTATTAAAATCGGCTATACGTAATGAAACATGAGATCGGACGACAGAGAAGTCAGAGAAGTACATCCCAAACGTTGTTGTGAGTTACGAAACTAAAATATGATTTTCTGTCGTTGCACAGATAGTCTCGGGTCGGAGAACGAACATTTGCAACGTTGCCGATTTTAGCGCTCCGTATAGTGTGCAATACCTAATCAAAAACTTAACGCACTGTATAAAGATTCAAATGTTTAAAATGCAATTAGTAAAAAGTTATTCAATAATGCCAATAGTAATAAAAAATATAACTTACAGAAACTCCAAACATCCGTGTCGTCCTTTGTCATCATTTCCAGGGACAATTACATCAGAAAAGCAGCCTCCGCCACTTGATTTACACATGTATCCAGTCATAACACATGAAGGTAAGTTGCAAAAACACCGAACGTATTCTGAAACAAAAAAAATAAATATACTATAAATCATTATTTTTAATTTTCACAAACAATTCGCGTTCTCAAACGATTATAGGTGGCAGCACTTGTGTTGGAAGATGACGGACGAAATATTGATATCGTTTGTTGACATTGTAAATTTGATAGGGAATTACTTATCTTCTGACTACTTTTCTTCTTATCGCTCATTATTTTTAAAATTTTGACTTTTGACATTATCCGTATTTCATTAGTTACCTATATTTTAGCAGATTTGTAGCACGATTGATCACGCAAATAGTTAATAGTTTTGCTGAAAAATTCGCTTTCTTAGAAAAACAATTTTAAAGTAATTTTATACCTAGAGGCGTTAATTAAAATCGATGGTGCATAGGTATAAGCACGTATGTGATTGCAGTACTTGCTAAAATCTTGCATCCTTGCAATAATTATTTTGGTTTTGTACATTAAAAATGGTGTGAGATAGTAATTTTGCGACACCGTATAATCAGCTTAATATAGATTCGTTCAAAAAATTGCGTAAAAATATAAAAATATGTACGAGAAAAAAGTGTTTAATGTTGTACACACATTTTTGACAATTTCTTTATATCGATATCAATTTCTTTATATTAAGTCAGATTTTTTAAAGAAATGTATCCTTCTGTGATTATATTATTTTCTGTCAATTTTTCAAGAACATAATATGCCATTCAAGTCACATTATTTCAATAAACAATAGTATACTCATACTAAAAGTACTTCAAAATGCTGTTCGCCATTAATATTTGTTTAAATTAAATATTAATGACATTTATTGTAATAGACATGACAATAAAGTAACTGTATCTTGTCGAAATCGAATGCCCGTTTAGGATTCCATATTAATACCTTCATATATGGTGATCAGATCACCCACGTCGTCAAAATTGTAAATATTTATTCAAATCCTAAATTAATGGCGTTAACATTCTCAATTTCTAATCACCGTAAATTTTTTAATCCTATTTCATTTCTCACATATCTGGCAATCCCGCCGTGAGATACGCTGAGAAAAGTATTATTTGGTTGTAATAGGTATTTATTTTCTACTCTTTAGATAAATATATATTAATATATTTTATAAACAACAGTATCTGTTTTGTGACTAACTTGACCGTTATAGTTTATGTTTGCAAATATTCAAACTATTTACTTCATCTTCCCGATGTAATATTTAAAATATTTTACCTAAATGTCGCCAAAAATTCTCGTTACAGCGTTTGTTGGAAATATTCTAAGGGCCAATTGTTCGAACGCTAATCAACACTTGATTGTAATCAAATATTTAATTAAAATCAAATACGTCACATTTTGAGGTTATTATGACTGATTTATTTTATTTAATTTTAATTTAAAATAAACTAGATTAATGGATGCGTTACCAGTACTACAGGCAGGCTGCGACTCAATTGAACCAAAGTTCGTCTTTAACAAACCCTACAAAATTGAAACAAGACAGTGTACGGAGACAAACGTGGCAAAGGCCTATTGCATATACACCGATGGCTCCAAAATGAAAGAAGGCTCAGGATGCGGGATATACTCCAGATCACTGAACCTAAGAATAAAGTGGGGTATGGGCAAAAATGCCAGTGTACTTCAGACAGAACTAACTGGTATTTCCATAGCCGCAAAAGAGATAACCCAAAAAGGTATAGCAGGGAAAACTATAATGATCTGCACAGATAGCAGACAAGCGCTACTAACCTTGAATAGACCACGTGTCACATCAGGTTTAGTAATGGAGTGTCACGAGTCATTAACTCAAGCTTCGGATGGTAATACCATCATCCTGAAGTGGGTTAAAGGACACAATAGGAATAAAGGCAACCGCATTGCTGACCAATTATCTAGGAAGGCGGCAGGCCTAAGACTCCTAGGACCTGGCGATCTTTTTGGTTGGTCAACTACAACAATCGCGAAATTGTCAAATGTCACTCCCATACGCAAACCGTAAAAAGATGGGAAGAAGGGAAAGGATGTAGACTTGCCAAGTTAACACTCAGTAACCTTGAAGAGTCAACATCAAAGAAGTACTTGGGAATGACCAGGAAAAATCTACGTTTGGCAGTTGGTTTTTTAACTGGTCATTGTCAACTAAGCAAACACCTCCACACACTGGGGCTAGTAGACACACCTCTATGTAGGAAGTGTGAACGAGAAGACGAAACTGTAGAGCATGTCCTATGTGAATGCCCAGAGTTATCGTTAATACGAGAGTACGCGTTCGGCGAGTCCTGGCCTACACCTGCCCACATAAGTGAGATGTCTCCTGGTGACTTGTCCACCTTCCTAGAAATGGCAGGATGGACAATGAGCTAAGGGTGACAGCTCCCTGGGAGGATGCACAATGGGTCAATTGTGGCCTAAGTGCTGTGAAACTTAACTCGCCCTCCCTACTCTACAGATACAGATAACTAGAATTAAACTCTTTCTGGTGTTAATTTCATGTTTTTATTTACAAAACAATAATAATAATAATAAGCAATTATTAATAGTTTTGACAGCTGCTGTGACTTATTTGATTGTAATTAAATATTTGATTACAATCAAGTTTTGATTAGCGTTCGAACAATCGGCATTAAATATTCCAAAATATCGTTAAAACCACCCAAGAATCCTAATGTATTCAGTTACATTTGGAAACGGTATTTTTCCCAGGAAATATTATTGTTTGTTTAAAAAGGCACACCTTTCCAATTTTATTTTATTTTTCCGTTGTGCATCAAGATGTAAGAGACGTTCGACGCCTGTTGCGAAACCCGTTTTAGGGAAGATCTCTATTTTGAGATGGAGTAGTAACTATACCGTACTGAGATCTAAAGAGATCGAAATACGTATATGCGGCTTGTTGCTGCTCTGTATCAAATCAAAATATACCGTTATTTGTTTTGTTTATTTACTTCATTTGGAGTACCAGAAATCGAATTCACTACGAATATAGGCCATGTGAACAGCATTTGGAGTGCAATTTTTAGACTCCCTTGCCGATGCATTCATCAAGCTGTTTTGCTTCGCAAGTCTTAGGGGGCACGGTGGCTTATATTTGAATTCGATTTCGCCAGGTAGAAATCGTTATGATTTCTCTTTTTATCTCTATTTTTGTTTTTTTCGTATAATATATTTTGTATTTTTTCATCTAATTATGGCCCCATATGGAATCCAGGCTCCCCATAATTCAGGGGCCATTTTTTAAACCTCTTGGAAATCCAAATTTGTTCCATTGAAAATCTAAGTTTCCCTTAATTCGGAGGCCATCTTTGTATTAGTTCCGAAGGAGGTCCCCCTTTTTATTCAAGACAACATGATCGAGTTTGACAACTTCATCCAAATAAATTTAATAATAATAAATCACTAGAATAGACCAACTGCTGTTAGCGAATTAGCAAAAAGTGGTGTAGAAGAACAACAATTGCTAAAAATTACTGGTCATGGCAATCAAATTCTATAAAACCATACTTGAATCTCGATCAAGAACACCACAACAAGATTATAAATATTATGCGTGGTAATAGATCTTCTATACTAGAGAACAGCAACGAATCTAATGTTAACTTAAATTTTAATAATTGTACTTTCACTAACTGTACTTTTAATAAATAAATGTTTCGTTATGTTGAGTTATGATTTTTTTTACGAAAAATTATCCGCCGAATATCCCTCGGACATTGATGAATGCCTCATAATTTCATGACAAATTTCTCAAGCTCGTTGCTTGGTAACAGCACTCAGCCTTCGGCTTCGAACCTTCGCCTCAGCCTTCGGCTTCGTGCTGTTACCAAGGAACGACTTTCGATTGTCATGAAATTATCTCTGTCTGTTATCAATGTCCTAGGGATATTACTCTGAAAATAGGACTTAGGTTAGTTACATGTGAAAAAAGATACATACAACTCAATACCTAGAACAAAACTGCGGAAGTAATGACTCTTATCGTAGTTTCAGAAAACAGTGGAAACAGTGAAAGCATTTTACAAGGATAATAAAGTAGCCATTTAAATCAGAAATAAAATATGGACCCCATTTACAGCGAAAAAAGACGGTTGCGCTAAGCTATAGGCTACCTTAGATCCCAGATTGTTAAAAATATTTCTAAAGAAAACTTTGAAACCATGGAAATGACACTGCGAAGCAATAGTAATAACACCTCGAGATATTTCGTTAACGATTAAGTAATTATCGCACGAGATGAAGATGACCTCAATTTTATGATGTGGAATGAAGATACAGAAAGAAGTTCGAAATAAAAACAAAAATAACAATATAAAATAACTGATGATAGACAAAGCAACACAAATTCGATTCATCAAACAGAGGAACAACGATTTGATGAACAATGGATTTTTGTCGTCCATTCAATAGCTTTCTTTTTTGAAAAAGGTTTTGAGTCATATGCTGGTATTAGGATTAAGTTTTTAATAATTTTTATTACAGTTATTGGCTAAATAGGTTTGATCAGATTCAAAATTAAAAATTTTACATAATCCAACATACATAACTTTCGCACGAATTATCCGACAACGGCACCATAAATGTTTCTAATAATTATATACTTTAGATGAAAATCCTCTCCTGGAGAATGTAATAGCTCAAAATGTACAGTTATCGCGTCAATTAAAACATTTAATAAACCCTTCCTCATTTCTCTTCTTTAATTGTAGTTAAAAATACTCTTTGTCAAATTAAAATCAAGAAGAATGTCAACAATTCGACCTACATTATATTAAGCGTATTCCATGTGTTGCCAGTATTTAACTAACGAGTTTTCTAAGACTTAATTAAGTGAAGACCCACTTTAACGTGAAAATTTTTTCATTTCATTAAATACATCTGTAAAGCATTAATTGCATAGATTTCTGTCGACTTTGTGTAATTATTTAAACGGTTTTAAAAGTAGTTGCAGTCATTATGTTGGGGAAGAAGAATAGAAGTGTTTACGACTTTCAGTTTATATTCGGAGTTTTGTTTAATCAAATCGT